CCAGCCCGGATTCCCCGCAAACCATCATCGTGAAATCGAAACCCTTCTTCACGGATTTCCGATGGACCTGATCCGGCAAGGTGGCGAACCCGATTTCCCCCTTTTCGAAAGAAGAAAAGGACACACACAAAATTACTGTCACGACTCCGAAAAATTACTGTTAATGTAATTTTTAATTAAATTATTGTCGAAATTGTACTGTAATTAAATTACTGTTAAAATTCCTGTTAATGTTACGAATTACTGTTAAAATTGTACAATGATTAAATCGCTGATAAAATTCCTGTTACTGTTACGAATTACTGTTAATATTTTACTGTAATTGAATTACACTTGAAATTGTACTATAATTGAATTACTGTTAAAATTATACTGTAAATCAATTACTCTTAAACTTGTACTGTAAATAAATTACTGATAAAATTCCTGTTACTGTTACGACTGTTGAGATTTAATCTCTTTAAAACTAAGTGTTTGGGACCTCGAAAAAAAAGCTTCGTTATAAACGAAAATTCGTTAAAACAAAATTTAAATAAAACATTGAGAATTCGACGTATGGGCTGGGGAAAAAATCGCTGCAAGCATTAATTCGTCGTTGGAACGAGATGCTACAATACTGCATCTCAAAATCATGACCATCATGATGCACACATCATTGCTTCATTTGTTTTTAACAAAGCAGACTTTTCGCATTTCGCGGGAAAAAGCTGCGTTCAAAATGATCAGAAAAATATTTGCCGTGGTTAAAAAAAAACACTCAAATTATTCCAAAAGATACAGGAGGAGGGAGATTTCACCGCAGGGAGATGAAGGATTATCTTTCGCAGTCTCCCACGTGCACATGCGGAAAAAAATAGAATTCTTTTTTGAATTTTTCGTGCTGCTTTTGTGTATTCCATCCAGAGAGACCTCAAACCGATACAAGTACAGTAAATGAAAATGCACAGAGAAACGTCTCTCATCATTCACTCTTCAAAGGATTTGCCAAAAAATGGCAAGAAAACAAATCACAGAATGAATTTGTCCTATTGCACCATGTACGCGAAGAAACTGCACTGGGGCATAAATCAGCCGGCAGTTGATCCTTGTTTTCTTTATCTTCACCATCGAATGTAAATACTGTAAATGCAGCATAGGAAAATAAAATTCTTTGGTAAGCCTGAAATATAATTTTCAGAAACATAATTTCTGGAAATTTTCTACTCGGCCAACTGTTTGAAAGCATGTTTTAATGAGAGCGTAAAAAAAATCCTTCGCATGAACCCTGTAATATTCTAATGCTCCTGATCATCACGTCAAAATACAAACGGAAGAAGGCAAATTTTCAATTTTAAAAACGATTTCGCGTTGAAATTAGGGACACGCTAAATCTCACCTCTTTTAAATGATGATGGAAACGATCCATGAAATGATCAGTGGCGTCAAGTTTCGTTTCGGGCAAATCATCGAACCGCGCAGGAAAATCCCTCATATCGTGTGATTTCAGTAGTAAAACCAGTCTCGAATTAACATTATCGATATCAATCACTCAATGAATATATGGTCTGGTAAATAACATTAATCATAACAATCAAACTGCGGAGGCTTTTCAGAAAGAAAAGAAAAAAAAGACTGTATATATGAACGTGAAATCCGGAGGAATATTCTCGCGGAATCCACGCGCATACACGTTCACATTTCGATGAAATATTCACTGGTACTGTACAGCATTTTTGGTGTGGGATGCTGAAAAGAAATTCCCGCGACTCGTGAAACTCCGGATGAAATAATTCAAGAAGCTGCGAGAAGAAAACTTCCCTCAACTCCGACTCCCAAAGAGAAAAGTAGGTCACTTAGCACCTGAAGAAATTACGAATGTAGCGCTAGAAAAGAGCCTCTGTTCGTCGTCGTCGTCGTTTTGTAAACGCCGCCATATTTATGAGATGAGGGTAACAATAAAAACAGCGCGCTTATCAGCTTTTCATCCCCACGGATGCCGCTCCTTGTTTTCTGCCCTATTTCTGTGCTAAAATATTTTTTTTCCCCGCTTTCACTTCCCGGTGGAGAAGAAAAAAGCTATTGCTTTCGCGTGCTACAGCAGCAGCCAAAATACATGTTTCTCTCTCTCTCGCTCTCTGTCCCCCGTTTTTTTGTGACAAATATGAAAGGTTATAATCGATCGGCACAGAAGAAAGACTTCGTTTCTCCGCAGGCACAAATATAGCCTTTGATACGCATGATGAATCACATCGAACGGTGTCAACACGGAAAGGGAAATTTGGACCGCTGATTCATAAAGTGACACCTGCTTCGAAAATATTTTTCAGTCATTCTCGCCTCATGATTTTTAGAAAAAAAGTCCTATTTTAGGCCTTGGATTTCAGATATTTTTGTACAGTTGAACTTCGACACTCCAACCTCCATAAGTTAAATATATATATGTACACCTCGACCCTTCATCGGATTTTCGTCAAGTGCCTGTCTGAATTCCCTTAGAATTAATACAGGCAAAATGTCCCTAAATCTAAGGTTTTTTCACCCTCGAACCTACATATAACTCGAGTTTTCTGGAGGCTTTTTTGGCTATAACACCAGAACGAGGACAGCAATGCAAATTTAACTTGGTTTTTTGAAAGGAAGTGAAGGACCACTTTGGCAATTGGAGACCTTGCTTTCAACTTCAGCGTGCGGTCGACTCATTCGTCTTGCAGTTTAAAAAAATACCACGTAATTCAGTTTTCTTCAACTCCCTATGGATTCATTTCCAGAGAAAAAATGCTGTTTCCGTAATGAAAAACCTCCATAACTCATTTTTTGCTGATCCACGTTTATTGAAGTTCGTCTTACAGCATGTAGAGGTTCGTCTTGTATTATATTTCGATAGCAAACATTTTGGCATTCCCAAACCTAATCGCTTTTTTGCCATTACTTAAACATGGCTAGCATTGATAATTTGTGTTTATTCTGAATTGAGTGCGGTAACACGCAGTACTCCATTAAATTAGGCTCAGTTAATTTGTGTTCAAATAATGATGGGGTGGAACTGGGCACAACTGTGGAAGGTATCCAGCCTGATCAGATTTAGGCGACACCTACCCGATACCACAGAAAGTAAGGCCGGGAGTTTCAGTTCAGGGAACCAAAATCAAGTCTGATGACGCGAGACACAAGGCAAGGAAGAAACCATAAAAATGAATTAGTCGGCTTACGAATGTATTTCGTAATCACTTATTCTTCAATAATGATCTGAGTGAACTCCCATCTTTCAGCAAAATGTATATACAGTGAGACTCCAGATGCGGACGTGATTGGTGCATCAAGAGTGTCCTCAAGTTGAATTGTGCCTAATTTGAGTCTTGTTTTCCCATAGACTTACATTATATAATTTTTAATTGGTGTTTCATGGAAGAAATATTCTTCAGAATTCCATGAAAAATTTTTTTGCCACTTGAATTTGATTCAGTGAATATATTTTCAACCCAAAAAGAACATTCCAAGCATTAAATAGTATACCACTGTACACTTCATTGAATTGTTGGCAACTGTAAAAATAACATCCAAGTCACAAAGAGAGAAGGAAGTCCCTCTATGCAATAGGTATTTTTTTTCAGTAGCTGAATGGATGGGGAAATTATGGGAGCATTGACAAAGAATTTTTCTCGCATACATCTTAGGGTTGGAAATATCTGTTTCTTGCAATCAAGCCAAATAAAAGTCAATTTTTGTGAAATTTATTGGCAATTTGACCATGCAATGTCCTCATGTAGAGTCAGTGTCCATATGTTGGGCCTTTTTTATGCCCTTTTTTATTGCAAAATAAATGTCCCTATGTCGAATTGTCCTCATGTCGAGGTGTCCGCATGTGGGGGTCTCACTGTATACGTATACAAGGTATGCTGACGTTGGAAATTCAAAGATATGAATATACTGTACTACAACCTAAAATATATTTTTGACGTTGATCAATCGCCATTTGCCTCATTTGGCCACCCAGAGCTTAACGAATAATATCTTCGAAAATCGACTATTATAAATTTGCTCTCATTCATCTCCTCTCCATTTTTTCCGCTATGAAATCTCAGGAATTCGCTCGAAGTATATTAAACTCTTTCACGCGAAAAATTCAAATTTATTGGACCAGAAACTGCTGGGCATTAAAAGTATAGTACAGTTAGTAGAAAGGACCCGTTTTTATTCCTACTACCCGATTTTATGAGTGCAGCTCTCGGATAATATAAGAATATATCGTACCATTTTGGATTCTATATCCGAATGCGTAAATCTACGTCGTGCTTGCGTGCATCAACTGACCACATCGTCTCGACGTACCCGTTTATTTTACGGTCATCGTCCCACAAAAGCATTCAGACCGCAAGAATTTGATGTGAACTTAAATCACACCCGTTGAATGTAAATGGCCAGGGGGGGGGGGGGAAGAAAGGAAGGAATCGGTCGGTATATTTGCTTTTTTCCTTTTTTAAAAAAAGGAAGAAGAAAAATAAGCTCATCCGCAAGGAATGGGATCAGATTCGACCGGACAGAATTTGATGCAGTCCGAGACCTGAAATATTAAACAATTGGAAATTCATTACTTCAATTTTGATGCCAAATGCAGGGTTTCGAGGACTTTCGACTAAGGAAAATGACTGTCACACTTTCGGGTTTTTAGTTGGAAATTTTTTTTTTTTAAACCCAGCAGAGAAAGTGACTAGAACATAATTTATCTGCTTCCAAAATTATACCAGGAAACAATATATTTGTTTTTTTTCTTCATCAGTATACGAAAACCAGATTGAAGTCCCAATATTCAAAATAATTGCCAAAATGCGAAAAATTAAGCTTATGCTGGGAACTCGGATTATTTCACTCGAGTGACATTCGTTCATTATTAAAATAAGACGGTTCTCGTTGAATATTCAGGAAATTTTACCAGAAAAAAATTAATTTGTTTCTGTTTTTGATTAATGTGCGAAAACCAGATCGAAGTCCAAACATTGAAAACACTTGCCGAAATGCGTAAAATTTTGCTACTGAAAACTGTGATTATTCCATTCGAGTGACATTCGTTCATTAATAAAATAAGACGGTTCTCGTAGAATATTCAGAAAATTTTATATTTATATGCGGCAAGATTTAATGTGGGCGGAGACCCGATTCAGAAAAGAATGAGCTCAATGGGCGATCTTAGAATTTCAAGACATTTTTATTTACCGCACTTAAAATGGAAGATTTTGTTCACGTCCATCATAGAAGAAACGTAAACAAAACAAAAAACAAAAAAGAAGCAGATGTTTTCTCGTGTCCACGCCCGGATTTTGCCTCAAGCAAATCGCGCCCAACCCACATCAATCACGAATGTAGAGCTCAACAGGTGAAACATAAATCGTTGCTCTTCATCACCTTCGGATAAAATTATAAAAATATACAAAAAGTATATTTGTGGCTCAAAATCTTACGCCTTTGGATTTCACACGGCGCGGTCTGATTAATTTCCACTTCGAAGGTTACTGAAATACAGATCATTTCAGGAAAACGTAAAATTGCGTTCAATTTATTCTTGGAGGATTTTCGGGATTTAAATTGTTTCACGTGGTACATGAACTAGGTTTTTGAAATGATACATTTGAGGACTGATTCCTTTCATCACGTTGGAAATGTAGAGGAAAAAAACTCAAAAATATTGGCGCGAAAATATCGGCTGCCATTTTAGAACAGTAGCATGATTATATCTCAGATTGAAACCTTTTTTCAGATTTACTGTTGGTATTTATTGTAGAAGAGTGATGAGCTTCGGAAATTGAAAACAAATTCAATGAGAAAAAATATTTTCTGACTTGCTGTTGGATTCAAGTCAACAGGTGAAGAGTTCATTAAAAAACAATATTTTTCCGTTTTTTGTTGTTGCTGCTGAATTACAGTGTGCTGGGAAGATGTGATCTTGACATACAGTACTTCAACATTTTGTTTGGTAAAAGGTAAGATTATAAATGAAAGGCGTTGAAAATTTTAAAAAAACGTACTGTATATTCTTTTGAAATGTGATTCACTTCATGTGCGCGTATACTGAACTTCATATAGGCGTGCCCAGCTTTAAAATTTTCTTCCTTTTTTTTTCATCACAACCAACAGGGTGAAAATTGCGGTAAAACTTCCATACCAAAATTCTTACTTTATATTAGCATTAAAGCCGAGTAACTAATAATTACGGTCCTATCGTAGAGCGCAGCGATTCTTTCTCGAAGCACTTGAGCAATAAAAAAAGTTTACACCAACTATAATAAAATGCCAGATTCACAGATATGCCTATTCGCAAAATTCAGCATTTTTTTTGCACATACACAACAAACGTAGCACCTGAACTTGCCCCACGAAAGAAATTAGCATAAATTTATCATCATAACTTTCCGACGCGGAACTTCAGAAAGCTTTGAGCACGTATCTTCGACTATATCCGCACTGCATAAAATCCAAACTTCCCTTCTTCGAATATATTAGTGCAGTATTTATTTTTTTTTTCAAGAAATAGGTATACAAAGTATGCATGCATTTTCGGACAAGCGTTGAAACAGGAAACCCGAGAACCACCAACGAAAACTGCTTTGACCGCACGAAAATGCCGCAGCT